GAGCTGGGCAGTGGAATCGCGATCTTGCGTATGGAACAGGGACGGGTTTGTGAATCTTCATGATCCAGGGCTACTTCATGCACCTTCCACACTTGTCTTCTTCTGAAAGAGTCTTTCTTCTGGATTCTTCTTGGCCTTCCACTCTATTCCTTTGTGTCGAAGCTCCTTTAGGAGTCTATAAATTGCTGTTATTATGTATGTGGGAGGCAGATTGGAGTTGCGTTTGAGTTTAGTTTCAGATCTCTTGTGTAGAGATTCTTTCCCCTTTGTGGGGCTGTATCCGAGGAGGTGGTAATGCTCAGGTTGTATCCTCTTTGAGGTAGTGCTTGTATCCTCTCTCTTTACCCTTTCCAACCCTTCTCCCCTCCACTCTTCTGTTGTCGAATTCTCCCGACGTAACCCCGACACCCGACTATTCCACCTTCCTTTAGATTATTACTATTGTTCCGTCTACCTAACTCATTTCAAGCTCTGCCTAACCACCCCACTACCGCTACCAACCACCTACAATCCTTCACGCTTATTGTGCTATAGTTCTGCACCTTCCCTTCGCTACCACCCGACTTTCTTGACAGTCGTCATCCCCTCTAATCATTCCTATCTCTTTAGCCGACCTCCACCACCCAATGGGATACCGTTAGGAGTGTTTGCTGTGTCATTTTATGTTTTAGTTTTTATTTTTGTTCGAGTTGTGCTGAAATCCTATTTTAATGTTAAAAAAAGTTTGTTTTTTGTGTTTTCACTATTTTCACTACTAGTTTCGGTATCAAAGAAGCTTTAGAATTACATCAAGACTATTAATTTCTTCTACACACACACACTCACACACATCTTCTTGATATTTTAATTCTAGCATGCTCTTTTGGTAAATGCAATAATGAGATAGGTGCGAGAAAGAGTCACATTAACGCGAGAGCTTTTCATCCCACGATACTATAACAACTACAGTACCGAGGACGCGGTCACTGTCGCTGCTACAATAACCGTCGATCCTTCTTGCTTTTTTTAGCTCCCCCTCTCCCATTTTCACTCCCTTCCATAGAGTCTTCTCCTATTCATTGCCTATCTTATTTACCACATTCAACTTTATCCTATTTCAAATTTCTTACTTTTTTATCCCACCCCCTCTTTAATTCTTGCCTAGTGTATCTCCTCATCTCTCCTAGTTATAGGTGTTGTTTTCTGAAAATTATATGGTTTTTGGATGAGTGGAGAATTCTGAGTTTTGCCTTTGAAGCGTTTTTCCCTTCAGGGGCTGTACTCGACGACGAGAAGGTGCTTTGGTTGTAACTCGTCTGAGGTGGTAACCATCTCTAAAGATCCGTGTGGTGCTCCGACTATAGCTCGACCCCTTCAGCAACTGTCAACCATTTCTAGGCCTCCGATCTGCTGCTCAGTCGCCGTTCACCACTTCCACTTGCCGCTACACACCTACTGCTCTCCAAAACATATTGTCCACTCCCTATTTTCCTCTATTGCCGCCCCTAAGTCCTTGTCCTTGTCCAGCTACTGCCATCACCCTCACAACACCTCAACAGTTGCTATACCCTCATTCCAGCCTTCTATTGCGCCCATCTCCTCCAACCAATCCCTCGACTTGTTGCCTTGTCGCCGTCCACCACCCTAGGTTCTCTTCCATGTTTGCATTTTTGTTATTCTCCTATTATCACTAGTCGTTGTTTATAGTCCTTTTGGATTTCAACAATAAAATTATCATTTTCTATTATGGTTTGGGTTTTTTCTCCAGTATCATTCGGTATCAGAGTTAGCTCAACCCTTGTCCTATCATAGGGTTCCCTAAATCCACCTCTACCCAAATCACCCCACCAAAATCTTTCTGCTCCAAAAGCTTCGATGAATGAGGTCGAAGCTTCCCCAATCCCGGGAGATTGACACGGGAGCTTTTTCATCCCGAGGTACTGTAGCGGCTACAATACCGCATACACGGTTACTGTAGCTTCTACGGTAACCATTGGTACTTCTTGCCTTTTTAGCCCCCCCTCTCATTTTCCTCCCTTCCATAAAGAGTCTTCTTATTCGTTGCCTACCTTATCTCTACCATCTTCCACTTCTATCCTATTTCAAATTCCTTCTTTTTTTATCCCATACCCTCTTTAATTTTTGCCCAGCCTATTTTCTAATCTATCCTATTTATAGGTGTTGTTTTCTAAAAACCAGACAGTTTTTGGAAGAGTGTAGAATTCTGAGTTTTGCCTTTGAGGTGTTCTTCCTCTCTGGTGATGAGAAGGTGTTTCGACTGTAACTCTTTTGAGGTGGTGACCGTCTCCAAGTGTCCGGGTGGTGCTCCGGCTATAACTTGGCCACGACGAGACATTTGTCCTTCCGCAGCCCCCTCTGATCCCACTTCTAGCACTGCCAACCATTGTCAGGCCTCCGATCTGCTGTCCAGCCATCATCATTCTTTGTTATCCTTTCTTCTCTTTCCATTGAAAATTGTTTATTTCTCTATGGATGTGAGAAAATTGTGAGATTGGAGGTTCTTATGGTTAGAAAAGAAATGGTGAGAGAATCTTCTCTTTTATTGAAGGGAAGAGACTGACTCAAGAACCTGGGTAATACTCTATGATAATGAAGATTGCATCATACTTGTCCCATGTATAGAAATAAGACTTATAATTTCTTATAATTTTAAGGGGCTTTTACATGCATAGCACCGAAAACTTTCGTGTTTATCTTTCTCACACCTAAACTTTCATAATTACAAACATCATATGTAAAGTAACACTCATTATCACCTTTATCTTTTCGTCTATAGGTAAAGTGCTATGTGTGTAAAAATGAAAGTTTAGGTGTGAGATAGGTAAATCCATAAGAATTGGGTGCTATGTATGTAATTTTCCCTAATTTTAAATATCATCATATTAAAATTAAAATTAAAATCAAATCCTATTATCTACTTAGAATTTAAAACATGCTTATTCAAATAACAGTTCTTAATTTAAACAAAAATATGCTTTAATTAAACAAATACAAATACAAATTCTTAAACTGGTATGATCGGGGTTCAATCTATACTTTTGAATACTACTTAGTTTTTAATTTGTCTTCCCGAAGAACAATAAAAGCTGACATTATTCTAGGTAGTAAAACATCACGAACAATAAATGTTTGTTCACATTGTGTGATTTGCATAACTATAACACTTCCACAAGCATCAGTGCTTGTGCCTTTGCAGGAGAGCCTTAACAGTAAAATTTTGAATGTTCTACTTTGTGGCTTCCATCAAGTTTTGTTAGGGGCATCCATACATACCACCCAATTCCTATTTATTTATATATCTACTACGAAAACGTTGATTTTTACATTATACAACCCAAATCTTTCCGGTGGCATAAAAAACACCACTATTTTAACTTTTCAAAAGCGAAATACACATTTTCATGCATAGGAAAATTAAAATTTAGGTGTTAGATATGTAATACATGCAAATTGAGTGGTCTCTATGTATTTTTTTTTTTATTATTTTATGGTTGATTTCTAATACTATTTTGGCAAAAAGATGTGGTTCCCAATTCTCCTACAATCTTAACAGATTTAGCATGATTTAACAAATGGTAGTTTCCATTGAGCATAAATGGATGTAGAATACATGCTGATGAGTATAATCATTCTCTTTGAAAATTGAGCTATCTTAATTTTTATGGATTGGAAACTATATTCTCTTACGCAATGGCGCGGCATGTTTGACCTGCAATTTTTTCTTCTAAACCAGATGGGCATTGCTTCCATGGTTCACTTGTATGTATTTCCTGCGAAGCCATATGAGCTAATGGGTGATCGGTTCCCCGGCACCGTATCAGTTCTTGGAGATTATGCTTCCGTGGACTGTCCATTAGACCCCGAGGAAGTTAGGGATAGCGAGCGACCTACCAAGCTAAGGATTCCTCAGCCACCTAATGTCGATTTTAAGAGCGGAATAAACATCAAAGATAGTGTCCGAGATGTATTTCTTGGTGGCGGAGAATATGAGCTTCTTTTTTACTTCTTATTTTTTTTTTTTTTTTTTTTTTTTTTTTTTGTAAATTGATGCTTGTTTAGGGCTTGTTCGGAATCACTTTTGTGTTTTGTTTTTGTTTTTGCTTTTATTTTAGAAACATGTGTGTTTAGTACATTCTTTTCATCTTTTTTTTTTTCAAAAACAAAAATTAACTTGTTTTTTAAAATATTAAAAACTTCTAAAAGTTATTTCAAAAGTGATTTTATAAACAACTAAATATATTTTAACATAGGAAACATTTTTTACCTTTTCCCTCAAAGATAATCTATTTGACAGGGTTTGTTTTTTCCCTCAAAGATCATGTTTGAGTTGTGATCATCAATATTTTTTAGTGCTTTTTACACCTATGTGCATAATCACTTTCACCATCTCAATTTCTCAACCAGTTACAACATACGTATCTGCACGATAAGCATATTTGATTATAACATACTTAAAAACTATTTTTTTCCTTTTCTTCCTTTTGGGAAATTTACATAAATAACACACAATTCTTATGTATTTTCATATCTCACACCTAAACTTTCATATTTACATATATAGCACGTTAGTGCTTTAAAGTCATAACACTGTCATTACCGGATCCCAAGTCCCAGATATAAAAAGTGAAGGGTTGTGTTAGGCAGTCGACAAACAACTTAAAATTTGTCGAAAAATCATGACATGACTTCTTTTGATTATTGTGTAAATGCTAGGAGTCCCCTGGAAGCGACGTGCTGTATGATCTGAATACAGTGATAAGTGTGCAAGGGTTGCTACACTGACGCCCGAGTGTAGTGTCAAATAAGCAAGAGTTTTCACATTACGGACAGATGAGGATTAAAAAGTTAGTTTATGAAATTAATACTAGGATAGAATTTTGAAATATTGGTATTCTCTCAAGTGAATTAATAAAATTAGTTGATATTATGATTCATAGAAGGATAAATATCTTATGTATTCAAGAAACTAAATGAGTTGGAGAAAATGCTAAGGCAATTGATGACTTAGACTTTAAACTCTGGTATTCATGTAAGAGTCACACTAGAAATGATGTAGGTATAATTATAAATAAAAGTTTGAAAGATAATGTTGTGAAAATTAATAGAATTAGAGATAATATTATAACCCTTAAGATCATTATTGATACTAAAATTTTTAATATTATAAGTGTTTATCTTCCTCAAATAGGTTTAGATATAGGTTCTAAAAAAATTCTGGAATGACCTAGAAGACTTAATACAAATGATACTTCTTGAAGAAAGAATTTTATTGAAGGATATTTTAAATGGACATTTCAGTAGAGTGGTAGAAGATTTTAGAAATATTCTTGACAACTATGATTTTGAAGTGATTAATGAAGAAGATAGGGTCATATTAGATTTTGTTTTAGCGTGTAGTTTTGCTATTGCTAATACTTTATTCAAGAGAAGAGATGAACATATTATTACTAATAAGAATGTATCTAATAAAACACATTGATTATTTTCTTATGAGAAGAAGAGATCGTCGAGAATGTATAGATTGTAAGGTCATTCCAAGTGTGAATTTAAGTACTTAACGTCAATTATTAGTTATAGATTTTAGGATGAAGAGTTGTAAAATAAAGAATATTAGAAGTTATTGTCGTAGAATTAGATAGAGACACCTAATAAATAAATAAAATTATTCTTATGAGTAAACTATAAAATTTCAAGATTTGGGATGTTTATGAAGAGGTAAATTCTATATGAGATAAATTAACAAATATTATTAAACAAGTGACAAAAAATGGACTTCGAGAATCAAAAGAAAAATTTTCTATAAATAAAAAGAGTTGGTGGTTGAATAATAACGTGCAAGAAAAGATAAAATATAAGTTATGTTATAAAAATTGATTTAAATGTAAAAGCTTAGAAAACTGAGAAAAATATAAGTGGCTCGTAGGGAGTCTTAGAGAACAAGTTGTGACGCAAAAAATTATGTTTTTAGTGATCCTTATAATAGATTAGATACTAAAGAGGGTGAAAAGTATATGTATAAACTAACTAAACAAAGAGAAAAGAAAAATAAAGATTTAACTCAAGTAAAGTGTATTAAAGATGAAAATCAAAAAGTATTTTCTTAGAAAAATATATTCAACATAGGTGAATGAGTTATTTTGATGAACTTTTTAATGAAGTTTTTGAAAATACGATTGAACTTAGTGATGTTAATATCTTTAATAATAATAAAATGTTTCATTTTTACCGTCACATTAGTAAAAAAGTTGATGAATCTTTAAAGAAAATCAATGGTCGAAAGTCTGTAGGACCTGATGATATCCCAATTGAAGTGTGGAAATATATAAGAGATTTGAGAGTTTCTTAACTTCTAAACTTTTTAATTTTATTTAAAAAACTAAAAAAATGTCCGATGAGTGGTGGAAGAGTATTTTGGTTTCCATTTTTAAGAATAAAGGGGATGCATAAGAGTGTGTAAATTATAGAAGAATTAAGTTGATGTGTCATACTTTAAAATTATGGGAGAGAGTAATTGAATATATGTTAAGACGTATTATAAAGATTTCTAATAATCAAATTGGATTTATGCCGTGCAGGTCTACTATGGAAGCTATACATTTATTGAGAGGTTTGATGGAGAAGTTCGTAGAGAATAAGGAGGATCTACATATGATTTTTATTGATTTAGAAAAAGCTTACGATAAGATTCCAAGAGATATCCTTCGGAGAGTTCTAAAAAAGAAATGTGTTAATATGACTTATATTCAAGTCGTTAAATATATGTATATTAGAGTCATTACTTGTGTTCGAGCTAAACGAGGATTGACCAAATATTTTCCAATTTCCGTTGGATTACATCAGGGATCGGCTTTAAGCTCATATCTTTTTGCTTTAATTATGGATGCTCTTATCAGACATTTACAGGAGGATGTACCTTGGTGTATGCTTTTCGCTGATGATATCCTTCTCGTGGATAAGATTAGAGAAAAAGTTTGGGAAAAACTTGAATTATGAAGATCTATATTGAAGTCTAAAGGCCTTCGTTTGAGTAGAATTAAAACTGAATATATGAAATGTAATTTTAGTAGTAGTAGCTCTAGTGACATAGTTAGAACTATGGGTGATAAAATTATTAAAAGGTGTGAACATTTTAGATATCTCTGGTTTATTGTTCAAAGTGATGGTGATATAGATAGAGATGTTATTAGTAGAATTCAAGCTGGTTGGTTGAAGTGGAGGAATGCTTCGGGCCTATTGTGTGATAGAAAAGTACCGCTTCCACTGGAAGTTAATTTTATAAGATGGTGGTGAGACCTGCAATGCTCTATGGCACTGAATGTTGACCTTTAAAAGAGAAGAATAAAACTAAGTTAAGTGTTGTCGAGATGAGAATGCTTAGGTGGATGAGTGGCTTTACATTTAGAGAAAAAATGCGACATGAATACATCCGTGATAGGGTTGGTGTAGTTCCAGTGGCAGACAAGATTAGAGAGTCGTCTTAGATGGTTTAATAGATGGTTTAATTACATTAACCGTCGATCATCTGATGATCCGATTATGAGAGTAGATGTTTTAGATTTGACTTATGTTCAGAAAGACAGGTAGGCCTAGAAAAACTTGGGTATATTGTATAAAAAATGTTCTTAATTTATCAGAATTAAATGAAAATATGACACTCAATATGTCTCAATGGAAAAAAAAGGATTCATGTAGCTGAACCCACTTTGTGGGATAAAGATTTGTTGTTATTGTCGAAACCCATGCATGAAAAGGTGTATTTCACCTTCATAATAGTGTTATTTTTTATGTAACATCAGAGATTTTAGTGTTATGTGTGTAAATATGAAAGTAGGTGTAAAATAATTAAAATACATAAGAATTTTGTGTTGATATATGTAAATGGCCATTCCCATGTTTTCCCCCTTAGCTAAATTTTCTTCATTTCAATTTTTTTCTTTTTCTAGATTGTAAATGATTTGAAGTTCACAGTCACTCAAGCGGTGGAACCAATGGAAAAGGGTCTCACTAGGTTTAATGAGAAGCTTCACAAGATATCTCAGAATATAAAGAAGCATGAGAAGGACAAAAGGAGAACCAAAGATGACAGTTTCATAGGCTCCTCGTCGCCTTCTAGGAGAGTTATTCGCGGCATAGATGATCCGCTTTTGAACGGTACTGTAAGCGACTGTAGCTCGTCGAAGGGAAGACGACACCGTCGAAAATCCGGCTATAACAGTGCTGGGAGCGGCGGAGAAAGCAGTAGTGATCATAGTTTTGGCAGATACGAAATCCGTGGCTATAGATGGATTACCAAGGATTGAAAATTTCTCACTATTTTTTCAGGAGGATTTACATACATACCACTTAATTCCCTATTTATTTACATATTTCAACATCTAAATTTTAATTTTTATATACATCACCTTATCTATGCATGGAAAGATGCATTTCATTGTCTTTTTAAGTTAAAATGTTGGTATGTTTTACATGATATGAAAGACTTGAGTGGTGTAAATGTATAAAAACAAAGTTTAGGTGGTAAATATGTAAATATATAGGAATTCGTTGGTATGTATGTAAACGCCCGTTTTTCCTTAAAGGTTGCCTTATAAATCCCTTGGAGTAATGTGTATTAGACCACAAAAACATAGTTTTTATTAGGAACATTCTCTTATATTTATATGGGAATGATGTTTCAATGATTGTCATGTCATTTTGTTGGATACATACTTGCTAGTTCTCTCAATTTTGCTTGTAGACTTTTTTGTAAATTATCTTTACAAGTCTTATGTGTTTACATTTCTCAACACTTAAAACATTCATATTTACATGCATATCCCTCAAAATTTTAACATTATGTCAAAAATATCATCATAATAAAAATTTTAAAAGTGAAGTACACATTTTTCATGTTTAAGTTTGATGTAAAAATTTTTATCTTTAGACAACTTGTCTTGCTTACTAATATTTTGTGCAGCGAAGTAGCAAGATAATATCACATCAGGGCGTCATGTGTCAAGTGGGTCCCACAGTAATATACTGGTATTGGCCAGTGCTAAGAATGGTGGGGTCTGCTTGACACGTGGCGATGGCTGTCAAAAAAGCTCATTATTCGCGAACAGTTCGTGTTCGGTTTGTCAATGAGTTCGTGTTCGATTCGTTCGATAAGCAAACGAGACGAATATGAACAAATTTTTTTTGTTTGGTTAGTTAAATGAACCAAACACGCACAGTGATGCGTTCGTTTGTGTTCGAATCATTATTGTTCGAAATATAAAATAGTTTAAAATAATTATATATAAAAAATTTATGATATTTTTTAAAAAATAAATTTTATAAATTAGAATATATAATAAATATATTTTTGATGTGATATTAAATATTTGAAAGGTAGAGATGTAAATATGAATGTTTTGATTTTAGATATGAAATAAATAAAATTTTTTGTATAGTATGTAAATGCCCAGTTTAAGAAGGACCGCTGTCTTAACCTTCTCGGGTCAACCGATGTTCGGTCTATATATAGTATTTAGTGTAAATTCCCTCAGGCAACGTATGCACAAACCGCATTTCAAGAACAATTTCGAACACGAGCTTATTTCAAACGAATCAATCACGAACACAAGCTCTGTTCGTTTGTGTTCGATTCGTTTACACCCCTACACGTGGCACCCCATCATACGACTCTAAATATATCCGGAGTCTTGATGTAATATTTTTTTCGTAAGCTTGTAAGACATAATTACATCTCTAACTTTTTTTTTTTTTTTTTACATCATGGCTGGTTTCATAAAAATGTTCACAAGTGCTGCCTTATCATTTCATAAAATGTCAGCAATCATAAAGATGATGAATGAAACACATAATTCTTATAACAACATATAAAAAATATCACTATTCCTAGCTTTCAAAAGCGAGATATACTTTTTCAGGCATGGGCTTATAAAATCAAAGAGGTGTAAATGTAAATATTGAATTTAGGTGTTAAATACAGCAAATTTTGTGGCATATATGTAAGATTCCTTTGAAAGAAAGGGCTTAGAGAGGGTATAGATTGGAATGGTTGGCTCTCATGTATTTACATATCTAAAAGCTAAAATTTGATTTATACATATATGTATTATCTTATATATGTTTTGAAATGTGTATTTTAGTTTTTAAAAGTTAAAATGGTGATATTTTTTATGCGATATGAAAATTTTCCGACAAAAATGTAAAAAGTTAAAACTTTTTCTTGGGACATTTGAGCAATTTTAATCGAGACATACGTTGCTTATGTAAATCCTTGAGCCCAATAGCTTTTGGTTGAAAAATAAAGTCTGAACCAATAAGTTAAGGGTTTGTTTGAGGAAGCCTCAGCTTGCTAAAATGTAGCTGTGAAATCGCTGATCTAATGTTCAAAACCTGCGATGGTTATTACATTTTTTTTTTTTGGTGAAAAAGCCAGACATCAGCTAAAAAGATGTTATAGCACCAAGTCAGGATCGGTGATAAAACACAAATTTCAGCAGTGGTTTTTTGAAAAAATCATCAAAATACAGTTTAACTAAACAGACAAAATTGTGGTGTGGTGCTGCACTGCCACCACAATACCACCGTAAATGAATACCATGACTAGTATTAAAAAGTGAAATTTAGATGTTAAATATGATTAATTATGCATAAAAATATATATTTCACTTTTTAAAATATCGAAATATCAAAAATATATATTTCACTTTTTAAAACACCAAAATTAGAAAATAATTAAAATTTAAAAAATTAAAGGACTAAATTATGAAAGCCAATCAACTAACTTTAACATTATGGTAAAAACTTAGGGATTATATATGTAAATACATGATAATTGAGTGGTATGAGTGTAAAAGTTTCTAGCTATATTATCTCCACCAGCGGTCCAGCCCTCCATGTAGCCGCACGAACCCTGAATTTAGGAACTCCGCGACGTGAGGTCAACGGGAGCCGGGGTGAGGGACGAAGTTGAATTCGTTACACTTTGCGGATTTAAGATGAAGCCGATCAGTACACGGCTTCGCTTCCAAGTGACGACGGTGAAGAAGACGATCGCGACGATCGCGGCGATGGGGATGAAGAAGATTTGAAGCAAGTAGATCGAGACGACAGCTCGACGCTGAAGGTAATTGTCTCTCGCCTGTTAAAACCCGCAAATGCGCGGAAATCGGACTTAGCTAATCCGGGATTTACGGCGAAACAGGATAAGAATGTGATTTAAGATTACGTAGGATTTAAAGCGGTCATTTATGCTGTTTGGCAGTATTTATCTTGAATTCTGATACCAAACAGCCCCATTTTAGAGCTCTTGAAAGTATTTAAATCCTCAACTTTTGTAGTTCCCAAATCCAAACTAAAAATTAATTGAATTTATGACGATCTTCTTGTTCTTCATTTGCCTGTCATAATAAGCAGATCTGTAAATCAACTCTTATTAAGCAAAGCAAAATCGTTGAGTGGGAAAGCAGAGAAGGGAACTAAGAGAGTAACAATGCAATTCCAAAAATCTGGCGATATACTTAGCAAAATGTTTTCGATCAAGGTGAGTGCTGGCTAAGAGAAGCAATCATGTTTTCTTCTCCATAGTTTTGATTTTGCTAAAATAAGTATCAACGATCCCCGTCCCAAAACTTCCCCACTTTAGTTTTCGAAGGAAGCAAAAGTTAATAAAATAAAATAAAAATTGTACCTTTGTAGTCTGTTTTCCTATTTCGTTGTATGATTTATCTGAGATTTATAGGCCGCCTCATTCTCCATCACCAATTCTCTGACAAGCTGCTC